TCATCAAGAACTTCTTTATTTTTTTCTGTTAAATATAGTTCTTTTTTATTTAATTCAGTTAAAATATCATTGAGTATCATTATAGGTATATTTAAAACAGCAGTAACAGTTAAAAATTGACTATTCCCACGACATTTTGTTGCTCGTGGTATTGTCTTTGATAATTTATCTAATTTTTCAGCAAATAAAGTGCTGCTATGAGTGAATTTTGCAATTTTTGCAACTTTTGTTAAGGCAGCAGTTGCATTAGATGCATGTTTAATACCATCCTTAACAACCAGCTGTAGCGTATGAGCGAAGCATGGCAAACGTAATAATTCTAAATTTTCACTTACACATTGAATAATATCATCAGCTAACGGTACTAATTCAAAGTGATCATACGAATCATCATTAAATATTTCTTCACAATCATCATCATTAAATATTTCTTCACAATCATCATCATTATTATTATTCTGTAAAGAGCCATTGTCATCATTGTTATAGTCATCATTCTCAAAATATGTTTCAAAACCGGGAAGTAAAATATCATCGAATGCTTTTATATTATTGGCTGCATTATCCGTAATTAAACGTACTAATTTTGTAAATTGTTTGGAATCCAAACAATTTACACAAACCACCTCGATCAACACCATATGTGTGCACCTACAAAATATGATATTTTTATTTCATAGCAGTGAGTTCTGTTGGAGAAACTTGAGAAATACGAGCAGAATTTCGACTTTTTCGCTTCTAATTTAGAAAAATAGAAACCAACATCATATAAAACGGAAACATTGTCAAAACCCTAAATTTGTTCAGTTTTCAATCCTCTATCCAATGGCGTTTGAATCTAGTTTTCATCTCTTTTCTGAGCTGAGCTACGTCAATTTTCAAAAAAGTTGAATTTCTACTTGCAGAGGTTTTCGAGAAAAGTTTCTAGAGACAAAAGAAAGAAGACATCCTGAAATCTCTAAATCTTGAATTTCACCGAATTTGGTCCGGTTGTTCCATACATAGATTTCTCATGCAAGACGCCTCTTAGAAGACTTTTACACAATTGAAAATAGAATAATTATAGCAACAAGGATATTTGCCTTCTCTTTTTCTTATGTTCATTTCCCCATTCCATTCCTGATTACATGCTTGACATTTTGTTTTATTCATCAATACAATTAAAAATTTATTTTGAATTATCTGATAAGAATCCAAACTACCATTATCACGTGGCTTATTACTCGTACTTCTTTCTTAAAAAATTCTTAATTTTGCGGATGATGTTCTTTGCAAAGGTGAAGATGACAAATCCAGACTTGTTGCTAATAATGATGGTAATGTTGCGGTTTCTTCTGGTGGTAGTTTTCTTTCCATTGAAGGTGTAGCTGATGGTCTTGTGTGTGATAAACTACAAGTCAAACGAGAGACACTGCAACAATTCTTTTTAGAAAAAAACAATTCAAAAGACTACGAACAGTTTAGATAACTTACCTAACGTCTTCTTTTGATCCGCAGTTTGCGAGTGCAATACTTTTTCTGCTTTTAGGTTTCCTGTGATTTTTCTGTTATTTTTTTTATTTGCTAAATTTTTTAAAAATCTGGTACAAATACTTCAAAAAAAAAAAATTACAGTCTAAAACACTATGACAAGATTGATCTGGTAAAAAGCGAATTGTACGAAACATATATACCAAAAAACAGAGAAAGTAAAGTAAGGGAACAGAGAATGATTCGATATCTATTGTATATGGTTCGATCTTTTATATGTATTGTTCGATATCTATTGTGTATTATTCGATCTTTTCCTTTACTTGTTTCTTATATATATATATAGACATATTCTTAGTCTGCGAGAGAAAGTTGTTATAATCAACGACCAAATACTAGCGCTTAAAATTCATCTGTGGTAATAAACATATAGGCTAAGCTGGCTTCTTTCGATTCCTGAAAATCGCAAGTCTCCATCTTTTACCATCTTTGAGTTATTCTAAAATCGATTGCCTACCTTAGATTTTATACAGAAGTCCGCAGAAAACCTCTGAAAACCCCCTCAAAAGCCATTAATATAGTGTCCAATCGTATGTATTCTGAAAGCAGACACTTCAGGCTATCTTTTCATGTGTGTATCTCAAAATCCATTTTATGACGAAATATCGATCCTGAGGCTTCGAGGAAACCTGATGCCACGCCTAAACCACAAAAGACTAAAA